ATGGTGGTGGGTGGAGTAGAGATGGTGGTGGGTGGAGTAGAGATGGTAGTGGGTGGAGTAGAGATGGTAGTGGGTGGAGTAGAGATGGTAGTGGGTGGAGTAGAGATGGTAGTGGGTGGAGTAGAGATGGTAGTGGGTGGAGTAGAGATGGTAGTGGGTGGAGTAGAAATGGTAGTGGGTGGAGTAGAGATGGTAGTGGGTGGAGTAGTGAGAGTGGTGGGTGTAGTAAAGATGGTGGTGGGTGGAGTAGTGAAGGTGGTGGGTGAAGTATACAGGTCTCCCTCAACATTCGCGAGGGTTAGGGGATCAAGAGCTTCGCGAATGTTGAAAAATCGCTAATGTTTGGTGCCCCAAAATTTTGTAGGGAAATATAATACAATACTGCTTCCTTAACTTGTTGAACCATGAACAATCATAAAATACATGAAAATGTCGTAAATTGTACTAAATACATACATGTTATGGTTTAATAACATGTTATTAAATACCACTACCTCCACCACTGAGAGTCCCTACTACCCTCCCTCCAACCCCACAACTGGCAGCCAGCCCTCTCACCACTCAGTGTGGTGAGTGTTTTGTTTGTTCATTATTTGCTATTAAACTACAGTATAAATAATGTAAACACATTCATGACTGCATATTGGAATGGCTATTTGGACAGGTATTGGACGGTGGCATCATGTGTTTACTCTTGAACACAGCAAAGAATCAAACATTTCTGCTACTGCTAATAACAATAATAGTAATAATAATAATAATAATAATAATAATAATAATAACAATAGTAGTAGTAGTAATAATAATAATAATAATAATAATAATAATAATAATAATAATAACAATAAATGCGATAGAATTGAAGAAGGAAATTGTACAAAAATACGAGGGACTGGTTGACACATCGTCAGTGTGGCTTTGTTTATGCTGGAGTGAGCATTAGTCTCTGTGCTCTTCCAAACATTTCACAATAATTCACTGCGTTTGGTGCTTGTAGATTGAGTGTGACTGGAGTGATAGAGACAGTGGTTGAGGAAATGGTTGAGGCAGTGGGTGAGGCAGTGGGTGAGGCAGTGGGTGAGGCAGTGGGTGAGGCAGTGGGTGAGGCAGTGGGTGAGGCAGTGGGTGAGGCAGTGGTTGAGGCAGCGGTTGAGGCGCTGGTAGAGGCAGCGGTTTAGGCAGGGGTTGAGGCAGCGGTTGAGGCAATGGTGGAGGCAGCAGTTGGGGCAGTGGTATTTAACCCGTAAACGGTCCAAACGTATATATACGTTTTTTCAACATTTGAAAGTATGTAAAAAAGTAGATCTTTTCGTTTTTTTACATTTGAAAATGTGTAAAAAAAACTTTGATCTACTTTTTTTTTTTTATATTTAAAAATATGTAAAAAAAAAGTAGATCTACTTTTCTAGCACTACACATGTGAACGTAGATCTGCTTGGACCGTTTACGGGTTAATATCATGTTATAAATAATAATAATACATATTAACATTATTATTATTAACATGTACAGGAAGGCCCCGCTTTACGGCGTTTCACTTTACGGCGTTCCGCTAATACGGACATTTCAAATTATGACCAAAACTCACTATACGGCTCCCCCCACCTGACTTTCTAATACGGTCACCGTGCCCCACCCTGTTTGTTTACATTCTCCATGAGCTCAGTAAGCACTAAGTCTCTCCATTTTGTCTGGAAACTCCAAAATTTCAAATGTTTTTAAAAGTTATTTCATATTTTATATATACTCTGATAATTATACTTATGTATACCTGTACCTAAATAAACTTACATACATCGAGTCATTTAAATGTCGTATATTACGGTAATATACACATTTTCATTAATCCATCCATGATATTTTTTTCAAAATTATATAATAAACACGATACATAACATAAAAAGATGATAAATACACCCCACAATAGAATAAATAAACATAAATATAAGATGTGGGAGCCACATAACTTGTACAAGTGACGCCAAGAATAACATTTTCTCTAATCTAACATAAGAGTAAATGTGTTACTGGGGGTAACTGTAGAAAATTATTCCTTTCGTATGTATGTAAGTAAGTTTATTCAGGTATACACAAATACAGTTACATAGATTATCATACATAACAACATACGTGTAGAGAACCTAGGATAACCCAAAAAAGTCAGTGTGACTTATTTCCATTGCCTTCACTCAGAGCTTCATTTCTTCTCAAAATGATGTTACATGAGAATGGGAGTGTTCTTCTTTATTAATTCTACTGTATCAATGTAGAGACAACCTGTACACAATGTAACTTGTACACAAACCAGACGTGTACACTTCGTTTGTTTACAAAACTTACCTTCGCCTGGTTTGTTTACATAACTGCGCCTGCCCCCTCTCATGTATTCATTCTTTCTCTCTCTCATTTATTCGTTTTATCTCATTTACTTACTCCTGACCCTACATTAAGACTACAAATATTTTAAGGTAAGTAATGAGTGAACTGTATATACATTTTATCGCTCTGGGATGCTTAAATATCATAGAATAGTATGTGTGGGTGGGGTGGCCTGGTGAGGCTATTACAATACATACCACACTTGATTTCTTACAATAAATACTACTTGTCTCACCCTAGATTAAGACTATAAATATTTTAAGGTAAGTAATGAGTGCACTATGTGTGTATTGTACTTTTTTATTGTTTTTTGATGCCTGGTTCTATTGCTAACTTAATATATGTTAGTGTAAACTTGTTATCTAGTGTTTGTATGCATTTTTAAGTGGAAAAAAAGGGTGTTCCACTTTACGGCGGTTTCCGCTTTACGGCGGTAGCCTGGAACCTAACCCGCCGTATAAGTGGGGCCTTCCTGTATGTTATTAAATACCACTGCCTCGCCCGCTGCCTCGCCCGCTGCCTCGCCCGCTGCCTCGCCCGCTGCCTCGCCCGCTGCCTCGCCCGCTGCCTCGCCCGCTGCCTCGCCCGCTGCCTCGCCCGCTGCCTCAACCGCTGCCTCAACCGCTGCCTCTACCGCTGCCTCTAACCGCTGCCTCTACCCTGCCTCTACGCTGCCTCTACCGCTGCCTCTACCGCTGCCTCTACCGCTGCCTCTACCGCTGCCTCAACCGCTGCCTCAACCGCTGCCTCTACCGCTGCCTCTACCGCTGCCTCTACCGCTGCCTCTACCGCTGCCTCTACCGCTGCCTCTACCGCTGCCTCTACCGCTGCCTCTACCGCTGCCTCTACCGCTGCCTCTACCGCTGCCTCTACCGCTGCCTCTACCGCTGCCTCTACCCGCTGCCTCTACCGCTGCCTCTACCGCTGCCTCTACCGCTGCCTCTAACCGCTGCCTCTACCGCTGCCTCTACCGCTGCCTCTACCGCTGCCTCTACCGCTGCCTCTACCGCTGCCTCTACCGCTGCCTCTACCGCTGCCTCTACCGCTGCCTCTACCGCTGCCTCTACCGCTGCCTCTACGCTGCCTCTACCGCTGCCTCTACCGCTGCCTCTACCGCTGCCTCTACCGCTGCCTCTACCGCTGCCTCTACCACTGCCTCTACCACTGCCTCTACCACTCCAGTCGCACTCAATCTACAAGCACCAAACACAATGAATTTTTGTGAAATGTTTGAAAGAGCACGGAGACTAATGCTCACTCCAGCATAAACAAAGCCACACTGACGATGTGTCAACCACTCCCTCGCATTTTTGTACAATTTCCTTTAATTCTATCGCATTTATTATTATTATTATTATTACTATTGTTATTATTAGCAGTAGCAGAAATGTTTGATTCTTTGCTGTGTTCAAGAGTAAACACATGATATCACCGTCTAATACCTGTCCAAATAGCCATTCCAATATGCAGTCATGAATGGGTTTACATTATTTATACTGTAGTTTAATAGCAAATAATGAAACAAAACACTCGCCACACTGGTGGGAGGGCTGGCTGCCAGTTGCGGGGGTCGGAGGGAGGGTAGTAGGGACTCGCAGGTGGCGGGAAACTTAAATATGATTTGGAGGCTGGGAATTTGGAGGCTGGGAGTTTGGCAGTTGGGAATTCGCGAATGTGTGAAGCCCGCGAAAGTTGAAAACGCGAATGTTGAGGGAGACTTGTACAATATTTCTTATTTACAAATACATTTTTCTTATTTAAAAACCCGTAACAAAAAAATTGGGGACTTGAACGGATTAATGGCATTTCAATTAACTTCAATGAGGAAAACTGATTTCATACATGAGCAAACTGAGTTACGAGCTTGGTCACGGAACGAATTAAACTCAGAAGTCAAGGTACCACTGTACATGTGAACCTTTATGTAAAATTTTATTGAAATTGGAGATGGTCAGGTGTGGACCCCTGGTCCACCTGACATGGAATGACCCATAGAGCTTAAAAAAGTTCTACAAAAAATAAAACCAAGTCCCAGTAAAACCCATGTTTTACTCTTCAAATAGCGTAGAAAACTACAATGTGGCTCCAAGAGAAGAAAGCATGTATTACAACCAAGGGAAACTAACATATAACAAACTAAACAGAGAAGATGTAGCCATACAAGCACTACAAATGCACTACAGCTAACTACAGGAAACTACAAATACAGTGGACCCCCGCCAAATGATCAGCTCCCAACTCGACCAATTATGTAAGTGTATTTTTGTAAATGCTTTTGTAGGTGTACTGTTGGGGGTCTGAAACGGACTAATCTAATTCACAATATTTCTTAGGGAACAAATTCGGTCTATAACAGCACCCAAACAGACTTCTGGATTGAAATAATATCATTAGGCAGGGGTCCACTGTATATGCATTACAAGTAACTACAAACTGATACAATACAAGCAACTACAAATAATTAATTACACAAGTAAGCCACACATACAAAGACATGCAGTGAGTCATCTTAATCCCAATATTTGTTTAAATATACAAATACAGAATTATGTATTTTAGTGTGATAATTTCTCAGGTTACAGGTGCTGTAGAGTATAAAACAATACCTACTACTTTTATACCTGAAAGAGAGGATCCTGGCTGGAGATGTGTGTAGGAAGTGAGGTGTATGCTGGACTGGTGGGGAAGGGAATATAATTAGGACCGCTACCCACACTGCTCCAGCGTCTGTAGTAGTATCTGAACAGACCACCACAGGCAGACAACAGCAACACCAGGAACACAACTCCAACCCTGAAAATGTATTAGCAAACGTACATCAGAGTCTTCCCCACCAATTGTGGAGTGAAGTAATTCACACTTAGGTTGACAAATCTTGTCCATCACTTGTTCTTTAACCTCGGTTCCCCTTTCTTCCCATCCTCACATTCACGGTTCCTTTACTCCATAGCTCGCTGAATCCCTCTCAGCTTTCCTATACAAAACAATCATCTATCACTCTTATATACACTAGTACAGGAGGGCCCCCACATATACAACACTCTCTTTTCAGTGTTATACATTTTTGTTGGATTTCAATGTTTGGAAGTTTTACCACTTTACTGCTGTTATCATACAAGAGTTGCAAAAGGGAAGGGTAAATGGAACTGTATTTTAAGGTAAGTATTGTATGTATATTTAATGAAAAACATACTTAGAAATATGATAGAAACAAGCTGATTACATCAAAATGTTGCCAGAATTTTGCACTATTTTTCAGTAAGAAAACACTTTTTTTTTCCATAATTTTTCAATCTTAATTTCCAGATCACTGAAAAATGGCTCACCCCTCCCTTAAGTTTCGTGTTGTCTTTTTCTATCACTTAATAGCTTAGCTTACTTGCTACACTGTTAATGTTACACTGTAAATGCTACACTATCGCTGGCTGGCGCTATAGCCGTTATTGACTTCTGCTGCTTCAGAATCATACATATCATAGAATCACTGAAGAAGGCACATTCTCCCCTCTCTTGTCCTCCTTCACTCTCATACTTTTCAACAACTTCTTTCTTAAATTCCATAGTGTTTCTCTCTTTACCAAAAGAATTTTACTAGGAACTTTATTTGGGCCCATGGATTATAGCAAAATGTTTGGCTGAATGAGCAGAAGCTTCCTCACTCACCCAGATTAACGTGAGTGGCTGGCGGCGGCAGGGTGACGCATCTCATACGGCCAATAAGCAAAATAATGGCCAAGAACCAGAAGGCAAAAAACCGGCTGATAAGGGAGTTGACTGATAAGCAGAAAGGCTAATAACCGAGGCTCCACTGTATAATATAATAATAACAATATAATACATACATATAATAATATACAGTGGACCCCCGGATATTGGCCGGTTTGGTTATCGGCCAACTCTGTTATCGGCGCCCGGTTATTGGCCGTTCGCTCGGTTATCGGTGGTTTTGTACGCGTCCTTCTGCCAGCTGGGGCAGCTTGTGCTTCAGATTGGCTTTGTCTCTCGGTGGCTGAGGAAGCTTCTGCTCATACATCCAAACATTTCACTTCCAGCGGGCATGCGTGAGCATGTTTGATAGGAGTGAATGGAGACAAATGGTTTTTAATACTTGATGTGCTGTTGGAGTGTGAGCAAAGTAACATTTATGAAGGGATTCAAGGAAACCGGCAGGCCGGACTTGAGTCCTGGAGATGGGAAGTACAGAGCCTGCACTCTGAAGGAGGGGTGTTAATGTTGCAGTTTAAAAACTAGTGTAAAGCACCCTTCTGGCAAGACAGTGATGGAGTGAATGATGGTGAAAATTTTTTCTTTTTCGGGCCACCCTGCCTTGGTGGGAATCGGCCATTGTGTTAATAATAATAATATTATTATTATATTATTTTCTCAGTTGTTTGTTGGGTTATCTTATTGAAACTTAGGCAATGTATGATGGAAAGATACTTTTTAACGTACACCAAAAATGAAAGAAATCAGACCATAAATAGCGGAGTTCACTTCTCAGCCATTAGCGGCCGCTTACCGGTATATTTTCGTATGGCTTTTATGATTGTATTCTCATTGTTTTTTTTTTGGACTCATTTGATAGAATGGAAGATATATTACAGAAATAGACATGATTTTGATTGCTTTCATGATGAAAAGCACCTTGAAATTGAGCTCAAAGTAGCGGAAATGTTCGATTTTTGCCGATGTTCAATGAACTTTGTGCAAGTCAAGTTGGTTAATTTTATTAAGTGTATTCTAACCTAACCACTCTGTAATCCGGCAAACTCAGTAATCCGGCACACTACAGGCCCCAATGATGCTGGATTTGTGATGGAGGGGGATTCCCCTTCCAAACACTAACTCCTCCATCTTTCCTCTTCTGTATCTTCCAGAAGCCAGCATTAGCCTTCAATAAAGGTACGTAATACATAATTGTTAAAAAAAAAATATTTTTTTTGTGAATATTTTTGTCTGGAACGGATTAATTGTATTTCCATTAATTCTTATGGGAAATATTAATTCGGTTTTTGGCCATTTCGGTTATCGGTTGACCTTCTGGAACGGATTATGGCTGATAGCCGAGGGTCCCCTGTACAGCAGACCGTCTCATATGGTAGTTATGTTCCTAAACTGGTGTGTAATCAAAATTCATGTAAACTGAAGAGTAGAGCAATAGGAAAAAAGGTTACATTCATTACACCCCCAATAAAAGCCAACCAAATTTCTTTAAAAAGTCTCAAAAAAAAAAAAAAAAGATTGATGTGGTGATGTGCATCAAAGATCCTTCAACCACATCTCTGCTAGCAGAGATGTGCATCACTGGTTATCCTAATTGTTGCAACTTAAGAGTGGTTCAGGTGTACACAGGAGGGGTTAGAGTGGTTGGGGTAAGCAGGTTTGGTGTTGGGGGTGGGGGACCAAGGGGTAGTGAAACTCTTCAAAGGTATTCAAGGGTATATCAAAGGTGTGGCTTAGGGGGCTGCTGTTGTGGGAAGTAAAGAGCAAATTGTGGAAGGGTGGGGGCAGGAGCTGGAGACTGGTGCTGGGAGGTGGATGCTGTGCAGTTTAGGGGTGTGGAGGGTGGACTCCAGAAGCAACGAGGCAGTGTGATGGTGACCGTTTAGGTGGCAGTGTCGGTGGCTCAGGATGGGTGGTGGCCAGGTGAGTGTGTGTGCTTGTTGGTATGGGCAGCAATGAGGGTGGTGTGTGAATAAGTAAAAAAAAAAAAAAAAAAAAAGCCTATGAAGGACAGGCTGACGCTCGTGTTCTGTGCTAATGCTAGTGGGGATTTCAAAGTTAAGCCGTTACTAGTGTACCATTCTGAAAATCCCAGTGTTCAAGAAAAACAATGTTATGAAGAGTAAATTGTGTGTGTTTTGGAGATCTAATAATAAGGCATGGGTCACAAGGGGCATTTTCGTCGAGTGGTTCAATGAAGTGTTTGACCCTAGTGTGAAGAATTACCTCCTGGAAAAGAAATTGAATCTCAAGTGCCTCCTAGTAATGGATGATGCACCTGCTCATCCTCCAAACTTGGATGACCTAATTCTGAAGGAGTTTGGGTTCATCACGAATACCCCGAATACCACTCCTCTCCTCCAGCCCATGGACCAGCAAGTCATTTCAAACTTTAAAAATCTCTACACCAAAGCAATGTTTGAAAGGTGCTTTAATGTGACCTCAGACACTCACTTGACCCTAAGAGATTTTTGGAAAGAACAATTCAGTATTCTCCACAGCATAAGCCTTATAGGTAAGGCTTAGGAGGGAGTGACTACCAGGACTTTGAACTCTGCTTGGAGAAAATTGTGGCCAGATTGTGTCCACAAGAGGGATTTTGAAAGGTTTGAGGCAGCCCCTGATGAGCCTATGTCAGTTGTGAACTCTATTGTCGCACTGGGGAGTTCCATGGAGTTGGATGCGAGTTTGGAGGATGTGGAAGAGTTGGTGGAGGACCACAGTCAAGAGCTAACCACTGAGGAGCTGCAAGAGCTTCAGTAGGAAGAGCAACAGATTGCAGCTCAGAATCTTGCTGCAGAGGAGGAGGAAGAGAGATGGAAGAAGGCGCCTTCAGAAATTAAGGAGATTTTTGAAATGTGGGGTAGGATGGGAATATTTATGGAGAAACATCACCCTGAGAAGGATGTTGCAAGCCATATCAGCAACTTGTACAGTGACAGAGTTTTGGCCCATTTTAAGGAAGTTTTAAAGAGACGCCAGAAACAGAGCTCTCTGGACAGTTTTTTTTTGCGAGACAGGACTCCAGTGACTCAAGCTGGTCCTAGTGGCATTAAGAAACAGAGAAGAGAAGTAACCCCAGAAAAGCAATTGGTACCTGAGGTGTTGATGGAAGGGGATTCCCCTTCCAAACAGTAAATAATCCAATCTGTCTCCTTCTCCAGTCTTCCATACACTAAGAAGAATTGCCAATATGCAATAAACACACTGCCTGTGTACCAAGAACCAAAATAAAGTAAGTAGCCTCCGAAGCCTTATTATTCATTCTCCGCCTGGATTATTTATTATTATTATCACACTGGCCGATTCCCACCAAGGCAGGGTGGCCCGAAAAAGAAAAACTTTCACCATCATTCACTCCATCACTGTCTTGCCAGAAGGGTGCTTTACACTACAGTTTTTAAACTGCAACATTAACACCCCTCCTTCAGAGTGCAGGCACTGTACTTCCCATCTCCAGGACTCAAGTCCGGCCTGCCGGTTTCCCTGAATCCCTTCATAAATGTTACTTTGCTCACACTCCAACAGCACGTCAAGTATTAAAAACCATTTGTCTCCATTCACTCCTATCAAACACGCTCATGCATGCCTGCTGGAAGTCCAAGCCCCTCGCACACAAAACCTCCTTTACCCCCTCCCTCCAACCTTTCCTAGGCCGACCCCTACCCCGCCTTCCTTCCACTACAGACTGATACACTCTTGAAGTCATTCTGTTTCGCTCCATTCTCTCTACATGTCCGAACCACCTCAACAACCCTTCCTCAGCCCTCTGGACAACAGTTTTGGTAATCCCGCACCTCCTCCTAACTTCCAAACTACGAATTCTCTGCATTATATTCACACCACACATTGCCCTCAGACATGACATCTCCACTGCCTCCAGCCTTCTCCTCGCTGCAACATTCATCACCCACGCTTCACACCCATATAAGAGCGTTGGTAAAACTATACTCTCATACATTCCCCTCTTTGCCTCCAAGGACAAAGTTCTTTGTCTCCACAGACTCCTAAGTGCACCACTCACTCTTTTTCCCTCATCAATTCTATGATTCACCTCATCTTTCATAGACCCATCCGCTGACACGTCCACTCCCAAATATCTGAATACGTTCACCTCCTCCATACTCTCCATACTCCGCCTGGATACACACGCAAAACCCATGATTATACCTGCTCTAAACACATGCTGCCCTGGGTTGTGTAACTGATGGGTATCTATGTAGGTGGCGATCTTGCTTCTTGGAACCCTTTCAAAGATTTTTATATGGGATGTTAGTGCTATCGGTATGTGGTTCTTTGCAATTGCTTTACTGCCACCTTTGTAGAGTGGGGCTATGTCTGTTGTTTTTAGAGTGTGGGGGATGACCCGTGTCTATGCGCCCTCTCCATAGAATGCTGAAGGCACGTGACAGGGGCTTCTTGCAGTTCTTAATGAACATGGAGTCCCATGAGTCTGGGCCTGGGGCAGAGCGCATGGGCATGTCATTTATTGCCTTTTCGAAGTCTAGTGGTGTTAGGATAATATCAGAGATTTTTGAGATGACCATATTTTGGGTCTCGGTCATAAAGAATTCATTTGGATTGTTGACCCTTAGTCTGGGTAATGGCTCACTGAACACTGAGTCGTATTGGGACTTTAGTATCTCACTCATTTCTTGGCTGTCATCTGTGTATGTCCCATCTTGCTTAACTCTTAAACTGTCCAAACATAGATCTACATTCATGCGCATAGCGCTCTGAATGTAGATCTATTTTTTTTCACATAAGACAGCATGTAAAAACGGATGTAGATCTACGTTCAGAGTGCTACGTGCACGAACGAAGATCTAATTTTGGACAGTTTAAGGGTTACGCAGTATTCCAATAATGGATGTTGTTTTCTTTCTTAAATTTCCTTTATGGCTTTTACATGTTCCTGCAATTCTTTTAAGATTCCTTCAGCTTAAGTTCAATATTTGCCATTTCAATGACCAGTGCCTTCCTTTGCATTTCAGATATATTGGCCCCTCTCAGCAGCTCTGATTCTTCGCCTTTGTCTGTATAGGGAGCGTATCTCTCTAGTTTACACCTTCTCTTTTTCTTAATGGAATGTGCCTTGAGCAGATCTCAAGAGCCACGGAGTTCCTTTTTTATAAGCAAAGGTTCGAATCAGTGTTGTTTAGGATATCTTCCCAGCTAGTTTCATTTAAGACATGGCTGACTTGTTCCCATTGTATGATTTTGTTATTGAAGTTGTGTACCAATAAGTCAAACAGTCAAGAGATTAACTCACTAGAAGCACAAAGTTATACACAACTGTTAACTCACCAGAAATACCAAAGACTATAGACATAATCGCAGCAAAGATTGTCGCCACAGCAGTACTGCTCACTGCCACAGAGGTCCCACTCACAGTAATGTCCAGCAACCTGTGGAAATGCTTTCCTATTACTTTTACTGATACAGTTAAGAAAAATAATATAATAATTGAATGAAGTTGATATTAAGGATTTTTCATTCTAGCTTTTCTCAGTGGCGTGACATTTTAAATTTACCTGAGATATTTATCTCAGGTAAATTTAAAATGTCACACCACACCAACAGAGCTCTCACACCATTGATCAATATTAACAAGCCATAATACTCCACAGAGCACACACACACATACACACACATACCTCTGATCAATATAACACACTACATCACATGAGAATAGAACAGAATCCTCAAAGCAATATTACAATGTCACGCCACACCAACGTCACACACACACACCTTTGATCAACATAACACATAACGCAACACCAATGTGCAAATACCTCCATTTGTATTGAAAGTGACATTCTTTCAGAAATAATTTCAGAGTATGTACCAACACTCAGAAAACACAGACACCTACTTTGCTTCAGTTCACTTTATGACAAAGTTCTGTTAAAGACCATTATATTTTGTTAAAAAATAATGGTTTATAATAAATTTTTGTTAAAACCTACCAGTTCATTTACCTAAAATTTATTTACACAAGCCCAAACTGGAGAAGATAACACTGCAATCTACAGACATACAGTGGACCCCCCAACTTACGATATTAATCCGTTCCTGAGAACACATTGTAAGACAAAATTATCGTAAGTCGAATTAATTTTCCCCATAAGAAATAATGGAAATCAAATTCAACCATTCAAGACACCCAAAAATATGAAATATACATTTTCCTACACACGAAAAGAATACATGCGCAATAGTAGAGTAGTACATGCACAATATATATTGTGCATGTACTACTCTACTAAATGAAGAATAAATGGCACCTTTATTGAAGATGCAGCAATGACTGATGAGACACTGTGTCCTGGGAGTGTCTCTTCTTGCTGAGTAATGTAGGTCCTGTTCGGCATTTTCTTCCAGAACAGGCTTTATCACATTGTGTATGCCACTACAATTCTTAAATCTCTCAAACCAACCTTTGCTGGCCTTAAATTCACCAATATGAGCACTAGTTCCAGGCATTTTTTCCTGTTCACCTGGGTGTTAGTCGACTTGTGTGGGTCGCATCCTGGGAGACAAGAATGCCATCGGCAGCAGCAGCGGCAGCAGCGACCTCCAAGCTCCGTACTTTTCTCCAACTATCATAGCCACCAATGCTCCTATGATGACTTAGTTACAAGCGAAACTGCACTACCCAACGTAGCACCAAGAATGACCAAAGATTACCAACAGTGAAACCTACAAATCGAAAATAATAGAGATCAAAGGAAGACTGCCCACAAACCGAAAGCAACATCCCGCTGCCAGCCGAACAACGTAACCCTAAGCTTTGTATAACTACAACTTCTTCTTAACTACAACAATTCCTGTAGTATTATGAGGCGCAATCTAAGAGGAAACAGCACTAAGGCCAGCAAGAAAACACCGAAAAATCAACTATTCAACAAGTGTAGCCAGGAGGACGCCGGCCCAGCAACCACCTCACTCACCACCGCTCAAGGCGACACCACAACAAATTAAAAACAAACACGGCTGCCACCACCCATCACCCCTTTTCCCCAAGGTTTAAAACCAAACCAAGTATTCTCTCAGGTATGCCCAAACAAATCCAGATACCCTAAAGACATGCCCCCCAACCTTATTTTTGAAAATATAATCTTCGAGAGACACTAACAAAACAAGCACCAGGATGACAACTCGAGAAAAAAAATCCTCATTTCCTTGAAAAAAAGTTTTTCAACACCAGGAATCCCTTAACTGTGACAAGACCATCCAAAACAGTCATGGGATACCCAAATACCAAAAAATAATACCTCTTAATAAAAAGGGTTTGAAGAAGAGTAAAAAAAATGGAAGAACAACTTAGAAAACCCAATTTCCCAGTAAACTACTTTGCTCCCCAAAGAAGAAAAACCTGAAAAAGAAAAATTTATCGGCCCGAGTAATAGTTAACTTTCCAATTCTTCCCAGTGATATGAACCAAACGAACAGAAAAGGGAAATTCCCTTGCAGATCAAAAAAGGACCAAACAGTCCATTTTTTTCCCAGTAAAATATAAACCCAAAAACAAACAGTAATAAATTACTTGCGATCAAAAAGGGGACCAAACTAGTGCTATTGTACCAGAGTCAGAAATAAAAAAAACCCAAAGGAAATTTTGGACCCCCATGGTAGAAAAAGTTTTTATGCTTAATTCCACTCACATGACAAAAAAAAAATTTTAATTATTGAATCTTTTAAAAAGTAAGGGAAAGAGGTATACATAAAGAGTGCCCTCCCCAAAAAAAACTTCAGAACCCCCTGTAAGTAAGAAAAATTAAAAGCAGGAGAATAATGACAATACCCAATTTCTTCACACGGGAGGGGAAAAATTTTTTATTTTAGGAAAACAAATGTAGGTCAATGTACACAACCCAACGAACGAAAATAAACTATCCGATTTCCAGGGATACGGGAATTTTACAGAGAAAAAACAAAAAGGGTCAACCTAAAAGCCTCCCGAATGTATGAAAGGGTTTTTGCTCCATAATTTTTTAAATTTTTCGTAGTACAATTTTCTTATAATTAAATAATCAACTACCTCTTTTTTGGGGGTTTTACTGGGAAAGCTTTAATCACCTTATCTAATTTTTTTTATTTACAAATTTTTTCCCCCAAAAAAATTTATTGCTAAATTGATACTATCTCTGTCCTATTTACCTTTTTTTTTTTAAAATTCCATAAATTGATTTTAACTTACTAAAATTAATAATTACCTTTTTTTATTATCAATAAAATTTTTACTTTTAAACATTTTGACATCTTTTAAAAATAATTTTTAAATTGTTAATTCCCTTTAAAACCCTTCCCTTAACTTTTTTTGTTACCCTTATTACTTACAAAAATTTTTTTATTAAACACCATTTTTACTCCCAGCCCAATTTTACTTTTGTACTTTCAATCATTATTTTAAAACTTCCATAACTTTTTTGTTCCCAAAATTTCAATTTTGTTTTTAAAAAACCCCAAAACCTTTTAATATTATCCTTTGTCCCCTGTGTCCCTTTTTAAACCATTTTACTATATTTTTAAAAACCAAGACATTGCCATTGTTTTTTTTTTACTTATTATTCTTTTTTTCCCTCAAAATTTTTTGGAATTTTTTTTTTTCAATTTAAATTTGTTATACCCCTTGATCTTGTAAACCCCAAACCTATACCAGACCCTAGTGAAAATTGAAATTTACCATTTCAATTTGAAATTTTTATATTAAAAGTTCATATAAAAAGTCCTACTCTAAGATTTTTTTCATATCTTAGTGATATTTTGGTGTGTGCAATTAGTGATTTTTCCCCAATTTTTATTAGGGTTAAAGGGCCCCTTAAACTATCTTTTGCAACTAGTAAAACTACCTCTTTTTTTTTTTCCTCCCTTTTTTTTTTTTCTTATTCTTTTGCTCCCTTTAAACCTTGTATTTTATCTTGTCAATTTAAATCTGGGTTATACTCTAATTTTTGTAAAAAAACTTATATAACCCTTAGGGCAATTACTTTTTGGAGCCCTTGTGCCTTTTTTTTTTATCATTAGATTAAACTGGGTTTGTACAAATAGCTCATTCTAGTAAATTACATGGGTTCAATCCCAAAAATTCATTAAATTAGCCCCATACTTTTTTTTAAACTAGTGGGGAGTCTGGGGGGGGGGGCTATTTTTAATTTGTATTTTTATTTTTTAAGTTTAAAACCTAGTTGTCTATAGCTCATTCAAGCTCAAAAACATAAAACTATACCAAAGTTTTTTACATTAGACCCTTGGGGAAATTTCCCAAGTGAGTCTTGTGCTATTTTTTTTTGGTTTTTTTAAAATTTTTAGTTTAAAACCATTGTACTTTAGCTCTTCCAGCAAAAAACACATAGCCAACCCCAAACTCCTTATGTGTATTAGTGCCTATACCCTACATGCCCCAAAATGCTATAGCTTTTTAACTTGCCCAAAACTTCCCCCCAAATACAGATATCAGAAAAGTAAACCCCAAAACCCCAGGATAAAAAATAACCAAAATTTTAAAACCTAGAAATGATTGTTCACGTTGACCCTAAAATCTAAACCTTAAAAAATTGAAACCCAAAAAAAACCTTTTGGGAAAGTAACGGGCCTTTTACTAAACACCCATCCAAAGCCACCCACTATCCAAAAACAATGCAAAAAGTCTATCATACTTAACTACAACATCAGGTCCTTAACAAACCTATAAATGACCCCCTGGCACCCCCTTAAAATCACAAAAGACCCCTTCCCCTGAAATTTTTCTTACTGGGACCTGGCTTTAAGCAGGACCAATAGTTATCTACCCCCCTCCCCAGGATAAAACAGCAATCCACAACGCAGCCAAAACCAATTGGGGGGGGGTTTTTGCAACCCTTTTAACTCAAACCCAATTATTTTGTTTACCACCACTTCTTTTGTGATGAATATGGAAAATTACATTTTTTCTAATTTTACTTTTAAAAAACCCTTAAAAGACGCCTAAAACAATCGGGGGCTTTTAAAGGGTTTACCCCACAAAAACCCCCAAAAAATTTCTGAGAAATTAAAGGAACTAATAAAAAACAGACTAATGAAAAACCACCACCTTCTCTTAGTGGAGATTTTTAAAACATCAAAACCCTTTGGGTTACTAGATGGGTCAGCCTGTAACTGATTTTTATCAAAAAATATGAACAACAACTTCTCAAACCAAAAATAACTAAACCAACCCGGGTTTACGAAACAAGTGCAAACCCTAAAACACATTTGGAACCCAAAATATTAGCCCCCCTTAAACAGGGGGTAATCACAGATACACTACAGACCCCTAACCCCCACCCTTCCTTTTAGACAAACATTAGTAAAAACCCCCCACTTGAATACAACAAAGTTTCATTTAGACTCCATGATGAGGCCTCAATAAAAGTTCACAGGA